CCGTTCTGCAGCGAGAGTGGGTGATGCCACGGCTGCTTGCAGGCTGGGTACCCGTGGGCTGCCTTCCCCAACTGCGAGTGTGGCTGCACTCCAGCGGCCGTGCACACACACAGAATTAAAAGTGCTTTGGGATGCTTAAAGCTGAAGGCTCTCCACCAGGCTGCCCTAGGAGGGCTCCCAGCACAGAAGTATCATGGTTTCCAGCTGAAGGGAAAATAGTCCCCTCTGCATAAATAAACAAAGGCCAGCTTGGGAAAAATACTGCGTTGAATTGTGCCTGGTGACTTTGTAGTGTCAACTGATGCTCACTAAACGTTATGTGGAAACTGTTTAACTCACAAGGTTATAAAAAAATGGGGAGAAAAATGAACAATAAAAAAAAAGAGCCCAGGTTTGCCTTTAAGCTGCTGCGTGGAACTGCTGACAAAGCTGCTCCTGACAAAATCCCAGCAGGAGGGGAAGAAACTGTCTCTTTGCTCTGCCTGTCTCCCGCTGAACGAGGCTCACTTTTAATGGACTGAATACATACAACATACAGCTGACAACAAAGATGTTAGACTAACCTAACAAGAGAGTGAAACAGAAACAGCACACAGCGAGTAATTAGAATCTAATTAATTTGCATTTCACAAGAGACTCAGAGATGTCAGGGGGGAAAAAATTCCCAAAGATTAAAGGCCTTACAGAGCCGGGAGTGGGGTGAGTGGAACATTCAGAGCAGATGAAACTGACAAACAGAAACCGGCAGAGCCAGTTGGGATGTAGAGAATTAAATGGCAGCAGGTGTGAAAGTGACAGGACTGGGAGCCCCCGTGAACAAGGGTGGATATGGGTCAGCAAAATTACAACAAAAATATCAAACCAGCAACTTTTCAAATGTTTTGCAGCATTCCTTCGTTTGCGGTGTTCTCTCCCCCTCCCGCTGGATGACTTTGCCAGAGGATAAAAAAAGAAAGAAAGACGACGACAGTATCACAAGCACATCAAGCTACTTGAACCGGGTTTGAAGGGAAAAGAAGACATTGCACAGACTTTAGGAGCTCCACCAACAGAATTACGGACTGTGACTTCCCTAGCTAAGACAGTAGCTTCCCAAAATTAGTGCTCACAATATGTTCAGCACTCTATTTCTTAACGCTGGCTGCTCCGGTGAGGCAAGAGATTCGGGAGCTACATAACATCAAGGGAAGATTTACCGCTTATTGCGAGAATGATAGCACCAGACAGAAGAGGGTGTTGTCAGAGATGCCAGAGAGGCCACACGAGCCCTAAGGAGAAAAATAAAAACCCATCACACCCCTTTTTGCCACATTATCATCATTGCTAGATATTGACAGCTGTCAGGAACGCCACGCCAGCTCCTGGCATCGCTGCCCTGCCTGTTCGTGTGAGCCACTTCGGTAATTAACTGCTTCCGTGAGGTTGGGGCAGTCCCCGGGGAAATTTAAGATCAGCTAAGTTCAAATGAAACCAAAGCTGTGTAAGCGTCATGTTTAGGAAAGGCAGGTAATGCCTGTGAAAGACCTGGGTTCTCTTGCGCCATACCTGCTTGAGTCTCAGTGGATTGCAAGGTATCAATTCCCTTGGGATTTACAGGACTAATTTGTCATGATTCAACACAGTATCTTGGCAGCAGGGAGGTGGAGACACACCTTTCAAATGTTTTTTTAATCTATGGAGATGCTCTTTTGGGATACACAGGGAGATTTGAATGAAGTTGTTTGTTTTCCTTTTACTTCCAGTTCAGTTTGTAAGACTCGCAGAATGGAACTGGCTGCAGTAGGGTATGTCACGTTTCCTAATCAAGTGAGAACGAGTTTGCTTGGTGCAGAGCCCAGATACTCCAAAATGGAAGACATCTTCTGCAAGGGGAGAGGGGGTGGTTGGGGAGTCAGGGGTCATTGTCATTTACAGGCAGTCAGGCAGAAAGAAAGAAAATCAGCTAATGCTAAGGCTGGCTTCCATTTCACCTGCCAACTTAGAGTTTCCCGATTCAAGTTCCAGGATCTTTATTTCTTTAATGTCCTTAGTCATCATCCTCACACACCCTGTGTTTAACCAGCCACTTGGAAAAATGTTTGTCTCACTAATTATTGCATTGTGGATGTAATCATTAAGAAGCAGGATGACTGGAAAGACATGATGGAACAGCACATTGCTGTCCTGCTGATTCTGCTCGGGATCTCCCTTGGCCACTTAAAGATCACTTCTGTAGCAGCAGCTTCCAAAACTCCCTTCTCACGCACACCAGCCCTGACTGTGGGTTCTGGCCACAGAATGGCTGGGGTCGGTGGAGGTCGCAGTAGCAACAACCAGAGGTGACGAGGGCCTGGACAAGAGCTTAAGATGCGAGGATAGAAGTAAATGGTCAGATCTTAGAAACACTGGGTAGGATTCGGACTGAGCCTGACCGTGGGGTGCAAAGGAGAGAGGGAGTCAAAGACGACCCTCATGCTATGGGCTTGGGGGCGGAGGAAATGCCAGAATTTCAGTTATGGAGGAGGCATCAGAGACGCAGGCTGAGGTGTGGAGAGCTAGATCTGGGGGTCACCAGTGAGGAAATGGCAGCTGAAACTTCCTGCGCAAAGGAGATCCCCCAGGGAAAGGGCCTAAAGGGAGCAGAGGACAAGGACCCACCAAGGTAGATTTGGAAGGAGCAGCCAGAAGGGTGGAAGCAGGAGAGGACAAAGCCAAGAGAGGGGCGAACAAATCACCCCGGGCAGAAACAGCTTGGGGGTTAAGGGGGATTGAGGATGGACCATAAGCCCGGAGATGTGGCCAGCAAGCGGTCACGCCCGTGGCCAGAGGAGCTCCATTGGTGTGGGGAGGCCAGAAGCTGGATCAGAGGGGCTCCAGGATGGCACTGCAGGAGAGAAATGCAAGACCAGAGCTTGCTGGATGAGCTCGGAGGAAGAGTAGAGGTGGGAAGGAAACTGGAGAGGGAGATGGGGTCAAGGACTGGCTTTCTGTCTACACTGTGATAAAAAATCCCGTGGCACCAAGTCTCAGAGCCCGGATCAGCTGACTCGGGCTTGCGGGGTTAAGAGCAGCAGTGTAGACATTTAGGCTCAGGCTAGAGCCAGCTCCGAGACCCACTCCTCCCTTGTGGGATCTCAGAGCCAGGCTTCACTGCTGTTTTTAGCCCCACAGCCCGAGCGCCCAAGTCAGCTGGCCAGGGCCATGCATTGTAGCCGTACTCCCAGGGCAGAGAGAGGCTAGACCATGCTTGTATTGTGAGGGGAAGGAGAGGGAGAAGAATGGGAGAGTCTGGGAAGGGTATCCAGCCACCACGAGGGCATGTGGTCAGCAGGTCAGGTGGAAGGGTTGGAGATGAAGAACAGGTCGGGGGGGAGATGACTCCTAGAGGGGGAGGGGATAAACTCCTGCTTGCACCAATGTCAGCCTATACCGACGGCCCAGCGATCCCCCATCGGACGGCACACCATGGGGTGCCACATTCTCACGCCATCACATCTGTGCAAGCTGCAGCTGGCTCCTCTCTAGGGTTATTTGCAGCCTTTCTAAAATTAGCTGGAGGTTTCCTGATCAAAGCCCTTGAAGGGCAGACATAACACTGGGGACGCTGTGCCGGTACATTGCAATCAAGTTACGCATTCTGGGCTATCCCACGGGTTTGGCTGGCCATGTCAGCGCTTCCTTCAGCTCACACAATCAGACAAGGCCTGGAATACAGGAAAGCCCCTGGTCTCTTATCTGTGCTCCAGAGAACAGTCATATCTTCTGCTGTGTACTACCCGGCTAGCCTCAGGCTCTTGGAACCCTGAATATAAACATTTGCTCATGTTCCAGCTGTTGCTAGAACCAATTTATTACGTTCTTCCCTCCTTGTATGGCAGAAAACGTTCCAACGCACACCGAGAGTTTGGGATATGGAGTGGTTTTATACCTGGCCCTCCCACTTCCATATTTTCACTGCATCAACGCTGCAAAAATGCAGATGGGTATTGATTTTTCTTGTGGGGGGGAAGATCAGAAGAGAAGCATTTAGCCCAGTTGGTCCTTATCTTTCGATGGGGGTTAAAATACTGATGATATGAGAAGGTTTCTTTCTGCCAATACACTTCAGTCCTGGGCAATGCGCCGCAAACACTGTTCAAGTTACAAGAACCGTGATTTGGGGCAGCAGAGCTGGGGGGATCTCCAGGTAGGAATATGCATTCTTCTCCCATTGCATGTGCATGCACACCCCCCCACGTCCCATTAATGCTAACGAGAGCTGTGCAAATGCACAGCGGGGACAGAATAACCCCCTAATTAAATAGAAAGAGCTAAAGAGACCTCCCTCTCATTCCAGTGCTCTCAAGGGAGCCTGATTCTGCCATATTACAGTTTTAGATCAGCATAAGGCCACTGAATTCAACTGAAGTACTCCTGCTTTACACCCGTGCATTTCCAGACCTTTGGCCGGGAAAGGAACATGATTTCATCTCTTCGGCCCATTCCTGTGTAGTCCTTACTCAGACAAAACTCCCACTGAAGTCAAAATCTTCAGAAAAAACAAACCGGCTGCTCTATCTGAAGTTAATGGGAGCTTTGCCAGAGCAGTGACTGCAGGATCCAGCCCTTCATTTGTAGTCTGAGTGCTACAGAAATGTTGCCACAAGATGAGGAGGTTGTGAGTCACCTAACCACCAAAACCATCGTTCCAAGCCCTGTATCACTCACAGGCTGGGCAGGGAACACACATGCATTTATGGCTTCATGTATTTTTCTTCACTGCCCATTTAAAGCCTGCACACGTGCAGCCTTTCAATCCTTCAGCAAAACTGTGTCTGCCAGAAACCGACCGCTCTGACAGGCAATTCCTCTCACTCTCAAACATGATGGCTCAAAACCCAATTCTGGATAACAGCTGGGTTGTTTTCACATGGAGAAAATTAACTCAGGAGGCTTAGTTTACGTAGGCCTTTCCCCCAGGTAGGTAGATAACAGAGCTTTGGAAAGCTTTAACATTCGTTATTCTCTTTATCTGTTCCCAGAAACTTCTCGCCACCAGCAGCAGTCCACATGGAATCCAGGTGAGCCCATTCACCTGCACTGTGAGATAAATAACCCTCATTGCCTCTGGAGTAAAACATACTGCGTTTGGTGTAAACCCACAGCGAAACCTGGGAAAGAAAGACTCTATCCTGTTAAGAGAGCAGGAGGTTCAGCTGGGACACAACCCTCAGATAAGCACGGGCAGTGTCACTGTCTTTATGAGGCCCTGAAGGAAGCCTCTAAAGTTCCAAGATAATGAGCTTGAACACAGGAAGACTGAGCTCCCTGACAGGGGATGACGAAGGGTGGAGAGAAGGGGGGTGAAGGGGGCTCAAATCAGCAATCTCTTAGTGGAATTTTAATGCAAGGAAGTGGCTAGATAGCCAAGCCTTGCTGTGGAAAGACAATTATACCCCACAGCAAAGACCATCACTGGCTCTTGAAGGGCCAAGAGACATCTCCTGGTGCTATCAGTGGCAGCAGAGACCATGAACACGGATAACAATGTGCAGAAGCAGCCTATAAATGCAAAACAATAGGCCCCTACCTTAGATGGGTCCCTGGAGAACATCAGAAACAATTTGTGCTGGGCTCGAAACAGGAGGGCCCAAGTCTCAGAGAAAGTTGTCAGAGGAACAACTCAGAGAAGTTGTCAGAGAAATTCCTCTGACAATTCTGCCACTGTCACCAGCTCAATTACAGCACAGTCCTTCAGAGACATTTGCAAACAAAATAAGGAAGATGAAAGATTAATGCACAGTTATCCTGACAGCCATCAGTTAGGCTGTGATATGTTTCTGCCTCCGGGATATGTGGCAGACATTATTCATAGTTCCCTTCTCACTTGTCATTATACAAATCTCAAGCAATTATGGCTTAAAACTATATAAAGTTCATAACTTTCCAGTGTGATTTGCCTGTAGATTTGTTAGTTCAGGACAGATCCAAATTATACAATTTGTGAAACCCAATCCACATTTTAAACCTGAATATGTTATGGCAGAGATTAGAGATTCACAGTGATAATTATGCTAATGTTGTGTGGATGGATAACTGGCAGCAAAAAGTTGTTCTGAAATGTCTATTTATAGGGGGGGGGGAATCTTGCCATCTCAAGGCAAACATATGGGCTAGCAAAAGCAGACAAATTAAAATGAAAGTTTTTTTAAAAGCAATTCAGGTCTGTGCAAGCTTATAGCGTAACAGGTCGTTTATTATTATTATTAACTGTTATTAAGGTCACCCATTATTTAGGTCACCCGACACTTCCCATTATAAGACCCCATTTTCAGTTACTTATAACTTTGCTAAATTTTAACTATTTGGGCTGAAATTTTCCATGCCATGCGTCTGCCTCAGGCTGAACTGTTTTTGGAAAATTTGAACACAAAAGTATTCAGCCATTTCCAGTAATAAGGCCAGGGAAAGTGCATTATGTTGCCCATGTTAAAAATTCTGGTATTTTTTTCTTTGGAAAGCTCTACCATTCTCCGTGCTTTGAAGCAGGGACTTGCAATTTGGCAGGGTGATGGCCTACGAGGCTGGGATGTGCCTTTTGCTATCCCCATGAAAATCCACTCAGGCATGGCAAAGGTATGAGCCTCTGAAAAAAGCAGTTTGCACATGCTCAGTAGAGACTTTCTACAGTGTTGCAACAAAAAACTCTGAAGATTCTTCTGTACTGAGCATGCTCCAGCCCATAGCTGCCTGTGAGCCATACGGTGTCCAGACTCGGGCACTTGAAACAAGAGATAGACGTGCGGGGGGACAGGAGGAGTAGATTGAGACAGGGGCTTTGGAAAGGGGGAGAGTGTGTGGAACTGGAAGCTGGGCAAGGAGACTGGGATGGAGATGGGGATGAGAAGCTGGAGGAGTGGGGACTGGCTAGGTGAGGAGAATGGGACTAGGATGAGGAGCCGGGGTGAGGAAGAGACATGTTCGAAGAGATGGGGCAGGAGGGGCAGGCTTGGGAGGAGATGAGCGGAAGAGTTGATACCCGCTAGAGTACATTCCCTGCCAAACCCTGCAACAGAACCCAAGATTCCCGAGTCTCACCATTCCTTTGCTGCCAGCAAATATCTATGAAACCCACTGGACAAAAAAAATAGTCCCAGCCCCCTCTAGTGCTAGACAACATAGAGGATGATAACCTACTACTGCTACCAATTACCCCCTTAGCTGAAGTGGCAGAAGTCTGTATGGTGGATCTAAAGGTTCCAACCCTGCTGGTGACTCTTGTAAGTGCCTATATGAGGCCACAAAATGGAATTTATTTTTCTATTTGCACTATAAAAAAACCTAGGAAACGACACACAAAAAGCTACATTAAAAGGACATTATTAAGATTGCACAGTCAAGCACTTCAAAGTTAGGCGATGCCAGAATTTAAGTTACTCACAAAACCTTAATTCGGCCCCCTTGTGTGTATGCATTGTGATACACTCTTTGATTGCATGATCACACAGTGCTTTTTCTCAGGACCTCTGCCTCAGTCAGCACCCTGCCCCAGGGATGACTCGGAGCTGTGTAGTGAAGGAGACAGTTTGTAACAAAAGAGGTAGGGTTCCTACAGACAGAAGTTGGAAGATTCATAGTGAATGAGACAGGGGATTGCAGGAAGAGAAAGGATGGGTTCCTGGTTAAGACAGTTGACTGCTGTCAAGGAACTTGTTTCTATCTCTGCCTATGCCACAGAGGCCTTGTCTGATGCTGGGAAAGCCACTTAAACCAGACTTTTCACAGGCGGTCACTAACTGTGCATTCCTCATTTTCTAGGTATCCAACCTCAGACCCTGGGTCTGATCTACATAAGTGCCAAGAACTCAGAGCGGCAAATGAAGTCAATGGCAGTTGAGTGCTGTATAATTGTAAGTACTCTGAAAACCTCTTGTCCTAGGTGTCTCAAATTGGGCACCCCAAATTAGTGGACACTTGACCTTAATCTCTCTGTGCCTCAGTTCCCCAGCTGTAAAACAGGGGTGTTAATAATATATCTCACATTTATTAATGGTTGTGAAGCACTCAGCTGCTCTACTGATGAGTGCCACTGAAAAGCCCAGGAGGAAATTTACAATTTTGCCTTCAGAGCAAGGTTTGAATAGCATGCAGTAATTAAGGCCTGGGGCCACACATTGAATAATGAGGAGGAAAAAAATATTGAAAAGCTGCTCATTAACTGAGCACCGTCCATCCTATGCACTGAGTGAGGCAGGAGTCCTGTGGAAAAACCTGAACGTTAGTATTAGGGTGAGGGTCACTTAATTTGCAGAATTATGAAAGAATGAGCAAAAATCTACTGTATTTTGTTCACCTTCCAAAGTATAGTTCTGACATCTGCTTCCTGCAGGGTAGTGCTGATCACGGCACAAATGGTATTGCATTTTCTCTCTCTCAGGAGGTTGTAAGATTCAAATTTTTAGCCTTCTTCTAAATTGTATGGGCCATCAGTCAACTCTTTGAGATGGTTTGAGGAGACAGATTTACACAAACACTCAAAAGCTCAGTAGACCCAGCGCAGTATCTTTTATACCGAGCAGGAAATAAATCATGGATTGTTTTTTCCCCTATATAGCCCTGCAGTTTCTCCCAGACACATTCCAAGCTGGAGTCACAAGGAAGTTATTTACCAAGAAAAACAAGAGAGTTTTTGGTGCCCTTGATTGACAGACCGTGTTCAGCTTCTTGCAGCTGTGCAAGGAAAGGGGAGCATATGGGAAGCTTCTCCCACTCCTTGCATCCCTGTGCAGGGCTCAGCCACAAGCCATGTCATTGTGGTCTCTTGAGAATAAGGACTGTGGCTAGCTCTGGCTCCCATGGCATTAGCCACACTGAGGGTGGCTGGGTAGAAACAGGGCCACTCCTCTGCAGCGGACATCAGAGACGAACGCATCCTGTGCCCTCTTCAAAGATGAGGCAACAACTGGTCCCCTGGAAACTCAGGGAGGCAATTAAGTCAGTGGGAGCAGGAAGAGGTGCTCGGAGAGGCAGTGCGGTGTACTGGTAGATGGAGGGTCTATTCCTGGCACGACTGTTGACCTGGGCGAGTCACTGTACACCTCGATTTCTCTTCCCCTCCTTTGTCCATTTAGTTCACAAGCTCATTGGAGCAGAGCTTTGCTCTTACCATGGTGTGTGTGGGGACAGGGTCTAGGCCCCAGGGCCATCGGTTCAGCTGGGAACCTCTAGACACGGGCCCGCTAATGACTCCCAGCTCCGCTGCTGAGACCACCTGCCTCCAAACCTCCTCCAGCGCAGGACCTGCCTTTGAGGCACCACCGAGCATGACATTGGTCTCTGTGATCTGTCTGGAAGAGAAAGGGTCTTGTGGAGGGGGCGGGGGTGAATTGCCACAGAAGGTGTTGGTTTTATTTTATTTATTTATGCCCTTTTACATCTTCCCTTGCAAGCCAGCCCAACCCAGCACACCAGACAAACGGTCCTAATATGTCATCAAAAAAACAGGTGCTTTCTTAAATAGACACCTGGTCTTTTACTTTGGATAGGGAACCCTGTGCTCATAATAACATCGCCCTGACAATTAGCAACACAAGAACTTTCATTGCCAGGCCCAAATTGCAGGCCCTGGAATGCAGACAATAATTAGCACTCGGTTTTCTAAACATATTTATTGAACCCCACAAATTCTCATTCTCAGCCTGCTCTTGGGAGTGTAGCAATTTTCAGATCATAACAGGATCTGAGTGGGAAGGAATGATCAATGTGCTCTTTAGTGGAGTCCTGACCAAAAGGAAAGAGACTTGTATCGGACACAGCCCCTGCCAGAGAGACCATCCAGTTCAGAAAACTGATCCGCCCTGTGTGCAGCATACATGGATTGCAATTCAAAACAGGGCGTATGTGAGACTTACCATGGGGCATGCGCCCATTGCTGGCCCTCTGCTCAGGAGTCAGCTTCACCCTGCAGAAAGTCAGACTGGCTACACCTCCAGGGAAAAGGAGAATGAGGCCTTTCCCCATTCCTGACTCAGCCCTCCATAAAGAGCCCTTTGCTGGATTTCGATGCCCAAGCAGGAAAACTCCCAATTCACTCCATCCGTCTGGAGTACCACTGCCCCACGCTCCAGAAACCTGCATGGTTAAAGTTAGCATATTTCAATGTAACAGGACTAACACATGGACACCTGTCGAGTTACAACCCCTCAGGGTTCTGGGGATTCCAGTTCTAAGTAGTAAAATATGCACATTCATTTAAAACAGGAGAAAAAACAATAGCTGAGCTAGCCTCAGGGTAGCTCTACCTAATGCGCTGACAAGTTATGCAGAATTCTCACATGAAAATGTGCTTGCCGGTTCATCCGGGTTTATCATAGCACCGAGAGTTCTGTTAGACTGGCCCCTTCCCTCCTGCCAGCATGGCTGTCCTAGGCTGGCCTCATGCATTAGCTCAGCCCAACCCATTTGATGAGGAAATCACAGGAAGAGGACATTGCTTGCTGCTACGTTTCCCTCCCAGGATGGGTCCAAAGCCTGGCTGGAGGCTGAGAGTCCTGTCTCATGGCTGATAAAGCGTTTCCTCTTCTGGGAGCACCATCCAGACAGTGTTCTGAGGGACACCTGCCATAGCCCATCTGTCCTGCTGGCTGGTCTAAGCTTAAAACCTCGGGCCCAGAAACAGTGAAATGCGGAGATGAAATAAAGGATCCTTCTCTACCTTCTTTGTGCCTAATTCCTGACCCAGGGCTCACGGACAATGTCTTCTGCAACTCTACCTCTGCTGCGATACGCAAGGCCCATGAAATGAAAAAGGCAAAGCATTGCACCATGGCGCTGCTGGAGTTAATAATGAACAATGCTTTGCACGGGAACAGAAGGCGTTCATCTAACAATCGCCGAGAACCTTCCAGAGAATACTGCAGCCTCCCAGCACCCCTCAGGGAGCGACCCCTATGATACAATGAACAGAAAATGGTGGCATTACACGGTCCCCATTGGGCACCAATCTTCTCTGCTGGCGATTCCATGCCTGACCCAGGTCTCTCTGAGATCAGTGGAAATACTCCCATTGACTTCCATACGGAGGTCAAGATGGTGCCATAGCACCGTGCCCATCTTCTTCAGTCCATGGCCTTGCTGCTAAAAGGGCTAGCAAGCAGGCGCCCATTAGTGCCAATGGGAATGGTGCTTTTGTTCAATACGGGCACCCAGGAACTGGTTATGGGCACTGAGCTTTTGTCAGGCGGGTGAGTAATATCTGACCCTTCAGCGGAGAGATGCTGTGTCCCATCGCCAGCCACTGGGTTCGGCCTCAGCTGAAACTAGCTTTCATTGTTTTGTTGAAACATGGGATCTGGCTGGGCTCCGAAAGGAATGAGCAGGTATCAGTGCTAAATTAGAAACACCCTCTATTACTGTCCTTACCTCTCAGTTCGGTTTTCAGAGGCAGACAAACCTTTGGGACTAAGCTGCGGTATTCCCCCGGGGCAAGGTCGTCCATTGGTGTTGGGGATGCATGCAGGCTTGGTCAGGAGACAAACCCTGGATGCACGGGAAGGTGACAGGCTCCAGGGGGCTGCAGAAGGGCAGGGAGTGGGTAAGGATTCCCACTATGGATTTACCATGCCCCGGCATCAAAATGGGCCAGTCAGCTAGTCACATCCTCTCTGGCAAACAAAGGCTGCTCTAGGAGCAAGGCATCTATGCAGCTCTATTGTAGGTACTCGTATGGCACCTAGGCACTTAACTCCTACTGATTCCAATGCTCAGGTGCTTTGAAAATCCCACTAGGTGCCTAAATGCCTTTAAAAATTTGTGCCTAAGTGACTTGCCCATGGCCACAGAGGAAGTATGTGGCAGAGCAGGGAATGGAACCCAGCCCTAGACTAGTGCCAATGGGGGTAGCCTTCCTCTCTAACCTCTCCATTTGTATGCCGGTCAAGGTGGGCTCAACCCAGCCCTTAGAATTCCACACATCAGAAGCTACAGGGCTAAACACAGTTATTCTCTCCCAGGCAAGCGGTGATCTAGTGACTATTTTTTGACAATGTAGACACACCCCTCCCCTACGATCAGTTAGGTGGGACCACAGACGTTAATTGGTGAGCATTAGTGTGTCGCTTTTCAGATTCCCCTTCTACTCGAATGTAATAACCTTTCAAATTCTCCCACAATACATGTATTTAAAGACCTGAGGTGTGCATGTGTGTGTGTGTTGGTGGGAGGGGGAGTAACACCGTTTGATTTGCTGCAATGAAAGATGTCTAGTTCTAAGATTATTAAAATCTACCTGCTGCACAAATCAAGTTCTTCCATTATACTGTCAATAGAATATCCTCATGCAGAACTGAACAAGCGTAAAAAAAAGTACAACCGTAATCTTTTTATAAGCTTCTTTTTTTGTGCTAACATTTATGTTAATGCCAATTTCATCTTTGGCTCATCAGATCAACTTAAGCATCTTTCTCTCTCTCTCTCTCTCTCTAGTAGATGAGAAATAACTATTTGGAGGCCCAATCTTGCATTCTGTATTCTGGCAAAAGCTTCCATTCAAGTCAATGAGAGTTTTACCCACGTGAAGAGTGCAGGATAAGTGCCTTGCTGGGAGGTTTTACTAACCCAGTGTGATGGACCAGCACAACACAGCATAATTATGGAATGGGCCATGATACGGAGTCCAGAAAAGACAAGCAAAGCTTATTAGCGGCATCACATGTGGGTTGAGCGGGCCGTGCGCTCAGCAGCCTTGTGCGCAGTGTCCAGAAAACAGACCCCAAACCAGCAACACGTCTTCAGTCGGTAGCCCCAGCAAATGATCACTGACTGTGATGTCACCTATCATCTCTGCTGTTAGACTGGTAAAAGGGCAAGGATCACTGGGGCAGCCTTTAGTCCAGCAATAGGAACCCTTTGG